CTTGTCTCCCACTTCTTTTCATTTGTCTCCCAGTTCTTTTCATTTGTTTCTGAGGCTGGGTGCTTGTGGTCGGCTGGCTTGTCTCCCACGTCCTTTCATTTGTCTCCCATTTCTTTTCATTTGTCTCCCAAGCTGGGTGCTTGTGGTCGGGTTCCCGGCCGGCTTGTTTCCCACTTCCTTTCATTTGTTTTCCACTTCTTTTCATTTGTCTCCCAAGCTAGTTGCTTGTGGTCGGGTTCCCGGCTGGCTTGTCTCCCACTTCCTTTCATTCGTCTCCCACTTCTTTTCATTTGTCTCCCAGGCTGGGTGCTTGTAGTCTTTTCCGCTGGCCATGCAGCATTTCGATTCCTTTGTCTCCCAGGTCTGTCACTGCTGGTGTCCGCCCTTTTTCACTGGCGATGCGCCATCTATATTCATTTGTCTCCCAGGTCTGCCGCCCTTTTCCGTTGGCCATGCAACATTTCTATGCATTTGTCTCCGCGGTCTGTTGCAGCATTTCTATTCATTTGTCTCCCAGGCCTGTCACTGGTAGTGTCCACCCCTTTCTGCTGGCCATGTAGCATTTCTATTCATTTGTCTCCCAGGTCTATCGCTGGCGTTGTCCGCCCTTTTCCGCTGGCGATGCAACATTTCTATTCGTTTGTCTCCCAGGTCTGTCACTGGTGGTGTCCACCCGTTTCCGCTGCTTCTATTCATTTGTCTCCCATGTCTGTCACTGCTAGTGTCCGCCCTTTTCAGCTGTCCACGCAGCATATCTTTGCAATTGTCCCCCAGGCTTGTCACTGGTGGTGTCCGCCCTTTTCCACTGTTTCTATTCATTTGTCTCCCAGGTCTGTCACTGCTCGTTTCTGCCCTTTTCCGTTGGCCATGTCACTGCTGGTGTCCGCCCTTTTCCGCTGGCGATGCAACATTTCTATTTATTTGTCTCCCATGTTTGTCACTTGCGGTGTCCGCCCTTTTCCGCTGGCGATGCAACATTTCTATTGATTTGCTTCAGGTTTGTCACTGCCGGTGTCCGCCCTTTTCCGCCGGCAATGCAGCGTTTCTATTCATGTTCTCCCAGTTCTGTCACTGCTGGTGTCCAGCATTTCTATTCATTGGTCTCCCAGGTCTGTCACTGCTGGTGTCCGCCCTTTTCCGCTGGCCATGTAGCACTTCTATTCATTTGTTTTCCAGGTCTGTCCGCCCTTTTCCGCTGGCCATGCAGCATTTCTATTCATTTGTTTCCCGGGTCTGTCACTGGTGCTGCCGCCCTTTTCCGCTGGCCATGTAACATTTGCATTCATTTGTCTCCCATGTGATTTCTTTCTTTTTGTCTTTCAGGTTTGGTGCCTGCACTGCTGTTTTCTGTCCTGTCCGCTGGAACAGGTTCACCTGTGAAAGGTTCTTGCTCCTTTGAAAGGGGTGCGTGACTGTCTCCGAGATTGCGTTCCTGCCGCACCGTGTAACTGTCTTAGCTTTGTTTTCCTTTTCGGGCAAGCGTTGGATGAATGACCGGATTGGTTTTCGGCGGCGTGGCAGCGATCTCTCTGTTCAGTTGGGACGGAGGGCATGCGTCAGGCACCAAAAATCAATTTCATGTCACATCCTTCGCTCCTCATGCTTTTATTTCTTGTCCTCACGTGGTCAGCTCATCGCTGATTGAGCAGCATGACCAGCATCATGTTCGCACTTGAAGAATAATTCCCCAAAAGGTTTACTGTTAGGGCTGCCCCATTCTTTCTTAAGATGTGTCCGCCGCTCTGTACTGCTGTGTCCGTCTCTGCCTTGCAATCCTTTACATTTGTCTCCCAGCTCTAGGCTGCTGTGGGCGCCTCTGCCTTGCAATCCTTTGTCTCCCAGCTCTGGACGTCGCAAGCTCTAGTTTCGATATTGAAAAACACAAACTGTTTGGGGTCTACGGTGGTGTAATTTGAAGGCCAAGCGAAGGACATGTCCACGTGTCTAGTTGCCAAGTAAGATGAACATAGTCAAAGTGCCGGGCAAAGCTGATTGGAGATTTCACTACTCTATGCCATGTTGCAGGCGAAGACGCCTAGAAGAATGTGAGCGTTCTAAAGTGGTTGACAAACTGCTCAACATGGTGGGGCGTGGTCAGGTCTCTGTGACTTGCGCAGTCGACTTGTCCCACTGTGCAATGGAGGATGGTTTGCAAAACAGCGCAGTCCATTCTCTGAGCTCTTTGGGGAATCATGGACAATGCCCTTCAAACTACGAAAGGGACCTACACACTTCACTAAGGAACTTGTACGGTTTTGAGCTGGCGCCTTATATTGTGCCCATGACCCTCCAAGCAACTTGGTTTGTTTCCCACAATCTTCTTTAGGTGCTTGAGGGGTTTTAGCAAAGACTCACCCCTGCAAACCCAACCAGTTTTTGCGTCGACCTTTTTTTGAAGCTTGGGAAGCTACTTTTGAATGGGTAAGGCTGATGGGCACAAGGAATCGACTGTGCACGTGCGAATGCTGCTTCCCCACGAGATAATGCACTGCTTGGCAAACGCCCGGTGCCCCATGGTATTTGAATCCATCATGCTTGGAAACCTTGAAGATGGAACCCGCAAACAGTTTTTGGAGCATGTGCGAACTCTTGGTCCTTGGAAGTCCCACCCATGCCTCGCTGCCGGGCAATGCTTCGAGCGCCTCATTGGCCTGACGTTTCACGCAGACGGGGCACAGTTCTTCAACGAAGATGAATGCTTCGTTTGGAGCGTCTCAAGCGTTTTTGCCAAGTCTGGCTTGTGTCAAGATGTGCTCACATACAAGTTCCCATTTTGCATCATACCAGAAAGGCAATTGAGATCCAAAAATGTACCTTCGAAGACGTTTTGAACTTTCACGTTTTGCCACAAAGAATCTTTAGGGAGTGAGTGGTAAGACTTCCCCCCTATCAGCAGTGTTCCTCTCACACAGGTACGGAGCAAAGCCAATGACTTGGTAGCTCGGGTCGCTGCCTGGTCCATGCGATGTGCGTCCAACGGCGTAGGGCCTCATGCAGGCTTCCGCGGTGAGGCTTTTGCTGACAAGTCGTTCAGGGCAAAGCTTTGTGGCGTGGAGCTCGCCCAGGGGTGGAAGATGCTTGGACACATTGTTCGGTAACGCTATCTTTTTTCCACTGAACACATGAACAATGATGCTTCTCGAAGAGCTTAAGCCGCAAAGCTGTCAAGGGCCTGCTACTTTGCCTTCAAGGCAGACTTGAAGGCCCGCCACGAACTTCATGGGTTCAGCCGGTATTACCAAACGGCCCTGCGCCTTGTAAAATTCAATCAACTTTTTTGTCACACTTCTCCCCACTGTTCGATCTGCACTGCAAGGGGTACAAAGTATAGGGGTTATGGGTTTTGGTGACAGCTGAGGATCTGTGATTCATGTTTGGCGCGGGGTGATGTCAACGCTCCAGACAGCACGAACTTCCGGAACTTTTCAAGTTCTGCGGCGTGGCCTCTCACATGTCTGACCCATGATCAGTACGCAGCCATGTCCGGAAATGATATTTCTAGCTGGGTGGTGATGGAAGGATGGACCCTCGAAACAAATTGTTTTGACTTTATGCATAATGCCTACTTGGGTGTATGTCGAGACCTAATTGGCTCTGGTCTTAGACTCTTCATCAGACAAGGGTTCTACACAAGTGACGGCGACCTGGATACAACGTTGGCGGCTATCCAAGAAGAGATGGTGAAGGACTGCGCTGACCATGGGCCACTCACCTCCAAAGTGGATGAGGTTTTCTTTTGTGGGTGGGTCACTGTTCCAAAATAGTTTTCAGACGCGACCAATCAAAAACAATGCAGGCTGTACTTGCCACGCAAGCCGGCCATCAGCATGGCTAGCATTTCTACCGACGACTACCCGGAAATTAGCGCCCGGTTCAAAGCAAGTCACATGAAGCTGATGACTTGGTGGATCAGCTTCAAGTCGCAACAGTTTGCGGACAGGTCGGAGGATGAACCTTTGTTCAAGTATGTCTTTTCATTTTCCACCGGTCCACCGGTACCTCAAACCCCAGAAAAGAATAGATGATTCATATCACCTACCCAACCTACTTGGTCAGGATCGTGTGACACAGGTGTTCGCTACGTCCTGTTACAACCTTCAGCGGTGCATCGAGTTGATGGACTGCAGTGGAGCTTTACTTACCGATGAAGACGCTGCAGAGGCAGCTCACTGCTTACATGTTTTTTGGAAACATATTCCTGGCTGTGTCTGCCTTCTTCCGGCGCGAGCGAGAGATGTTGTTCAGGGTTAGGCCAAAACATCACTATCTAGCTCATCAAGATACCCAGCTGCTTGCGTGGAAAATTAATCAATCTGCTTTTCATACTTCTGACGAAGAGAGCTTTCTTGGAAAAGCGAAGCCATCTGGACAAAATGTCATGGCCGCACTGCCTCCAAGAGATTCTTTGAAAGGTATCTGTTACTGTTAGCTCTCATGCTAGAAGAACATAGAAGATATGTTCTGAGAATGAGAGGGCCCAAGTGAACCTTTTCAACCACTTCAGTTTTTTAGTAGGTGAACGGTTCCTCTACAAAAAGTTTGTCTGGCAGTTGGTGTGATGGCATGTGGGCCTACCTCACTCAAGGGTTTGGGGTGTGTGCACGCCCTCTGGGGCACCAGGCGCGTGCGTCAAGCGAACACGCATCATCCAGCTAGCGTGCCAAAAGGAACGTGTAAGATGCCACATGCAGTCTCAGTTTCTCGTTTTGAGATTGTTTGTTCAGTCGCTGTTCTGTTTCAGCACCTACTGCAAAGTAAGGGGTATTCACCCAGTGTATGTAAAACCTGTTCTCTAATTAAGGTAAACGACTTGGAGGTTATCTAGCTCATTAGGGGTGTAGACCTGCTCAAGCCTTGGGCCACCAAACGTCAAAGCGGCGAAGGGCTCCGAGCGTGTTGGAAAAACAGCGCGCGCTGGACTTTCCTTCTACTGCACAAAGCGTGGTCAAAAAAACTGGTCGCTAACTTTACACCGGTCTCCAGGTGGCCCAAATGCAACACGTAGCCAGCATTGGCTGCTTTTCCCAGAGTGAACCGCTGTCGTGTATAAGCGCAAACTTTCGGAGGCATTTTGCTTTTCCGCTAGCGTCCACCGTTGTCGCAAAGGATCCATTTTACGCAGTTGGTGGCTAGCCTCGTGAGCGTGAACCGCTGTCGTTTCACGTGTACCAATCCAAAACCACGAAGCAGTTTGCTAATTTCGTGAGTGTGAAATATTGTCGTTCGAAAGGCCATAGCTCATGGGCATAGTGTGGGCCAATGTGCTATCACCAAAAACTGTAGATCAAGACAAGCCAGAGATTTATGAAAACTTAAAGTTTGTCTGGCCAAAATGCACACGACATCGTTTTGCCCATACGATGTTGTTGGCTTTTAACATTCTCGTTTGCAGATATAGCTCTGCAAAAAAACACGTTCGATCCTCTAGGCAATACCTGCACTTCGCAGCCATAGAAAAGGTGTGCATCGCTGCCGCTCGCGCACCGTCCTGTCCACGTGATTTCACTTGGTGTATTCGACCAGGCCCAGTAAAGCTACTGCCACTTCTGGGGGAACTTACCCCTCACCCCGCCGCCCCCCCAAGGGACACGACATCACAAACATCATGTCAGGGGGGTGTTTTCACGATCGTCGCGTCGTCGTCGTCGCTTTCGTTCCCCGCCTCTCAAGTGTAGTGCGGGAAGCAAGGCTGGCGACGTGGTAATGTAAATGTAGCGCGGGAAGCAAATTCTGCCAGCTGTGGCCTTAGAACTGATATTTTTGTAGTGCAAGTGTGATGCTGGATGAGTGCGTTTGGATGAGTCGGTGCCATTGGGGGAAAGAAAGCGTGCTGGTGTAAACGCGGCGTGTCGCTGGCGAGCGGCATCATTGGCAGTGCCCAGGGTGCTAGGTGTTACATTATTGTATCTAGTCTGTGGCACACCGTGTGGCTGACGCTGTGCCATGCGGTTTTGCGCTGCCCCGGAAGAAAACGCGGCGTGTCGGTGGGGAGAGGGGTGATTGGCGGTGCCCACAAGCCTTTTTGTTACATTGTTGTATCTAGTCTGTGGCACACTGTGTGGCGACGTGATGTGTGTAGTGCCGCCGAACCATTCGGTTCCATTCGGTTTTGTGCTGCCTGGATGGAAAGTGCAGTTATGTGAGTCCATGCCATTGAGGGATGGAAAACATGCTAGTGTAAACGCGGCGTGTCGCCGGGGACCAGAATGATTGGCCTTGCCAGGCTTGGTGTTACACCGTTGTATCTGGTCACGCGTGTGGTGACAGGACGTGTGAATTGTCGCTCGCATGCCGTTTTTGGCGCTGCCTCGGTGGAAACACAGGAGTGTCCGGCTAGACTAGGAGTGTCGTACGAGAGTGTCCCGCAAGAGTGTCCTGCAAGAGTGTCTCCCACAAGAGTGTCCTACAAGAGCGTGCCACAAGAGAAGCGCCTACAAGAGTGTTTTGTGCAAGAGTGTGTTCCACAAGAGTGTCAAACAATGTTTGGCCGTTTGTTTTCGAGTGCATTTGTGCATTTCGGTTCGTAGGTTCCATATTTTTCTGGTCTTATGAGGCAGACGACTGTCTGGAATGGATGCGACTTGCACGTCACGCAAGTTTCCGCCGCCCTCCTTCATTTTCTTAAAAAACAACCCTGATGCCAAGTCATCCTAAAGTCATCTCTGATGCAATTTTCAAACCTGAAGATCCTTTTGTCGGCCTGAAACCTGGTACATCTTCGTGTACATCTTTGCGAGACCCATCCTGCGTGCTCAGTGGACGCAGCTCAGGAGACAGCCATCATATTTGATTGGGATGACACACTCTTCCCAACTTGGCTGCTTGGCTAGCTTTGGCCAGCTTTGGTCTTACATTTTTGCCAAGCATGCTACTAAATTGGTGCCATTTTAGGATTCAGGCGGGCTCCTCAAAACTATTGTGCCATTTGGTGCCCAAGACAAGGGCAGCCCCTGTTTTTGTGCTCTGATGACACAACTGCCTTCCGTGCTGAGGTTTGTGACTGAGGTGGTAAATCCTTGCTTGGAGGATGTCCATTGCGAGCAGCTTCCACTTGACAGCCCCTTCATGGAATGCCTGAAGAGCCAGGGGCACGCAGCCAGCTTCTCAGAAGGGTTGATTGGTGCAATCAATTTAGGCCGGTATATACTCTTACTTTTTTGGATTCTCAAAGGCTTTCACCTCAAATACAACTAAAAAGGACTTGATGCCCTTTGATCTTCATTCGCCTACAAAGTGGCTTTTGCTCTTCGAATGAGAGCTACCTTTCAAGACTGTATTGGAGGCCGATTTGTTCTGGCTTAAACTCAGGCTTCCAGAGCAGTCTCCTTCAGACTCTTTGAGACTCTCTTCTTGAAAACACGAAGAGCAGACTTTAGGCAAACAGTGTCTGTTTCAGCTGGAGACGTGTCGATAGTTGACCGCGCAACGTGGGGCACGCCATGTGGAAACGAGCTGCGGTGGTGTTGTTTGCTCTGACGATTGGGCCTCAATGCGTCACAGCCGCCTCTTTGCGGTTTTCCGGAGCCTGGAAGGACGTCACTTCCTTCCAAACCTGCCAAACCTGTGCAGAGTTGGAACATAAGGCCGATTTTCAGTGGGAAGAGCATGAATACAGGAGTTAATTAGAATTAACTCCTGTGTTAATTCTTTAGCATCGACCCCCTCTCAGCATGCGCACAGACGGAATTAACTTGCAAAAGAAGCCATCGGTGTGTGGCCAATTTCTGGCACCAACACAATATAAGAATTAACTCTTGATTTAGGTTATGTTTTTGGTAGGTAGCTTTTGTTTGTTTGCGGATTGCTAGCTGTGTGTTTCTTTGGTAGTTTGTTTGTGGTAAGGTTGCTATCTGTAGCTTTCAGACTGTGGAAGAATTCACTCTTGATTTAATTCTTTTTTAATGGGTTGGACACTTGAAGCCCCACACGAGGGTAGTCTCTGGACAAGTCTGTGCGAGTTTTCATCGAAAAAATGGGTCGAGATGTCTCTCCAATGAACGCTTCTTGCTTTCCTCTTTTTCGCACTGCGCTGGGAAACCCACAACAGAAAGACCTAACTCTCGAGTTAAATCTTCCCACGTGCGGGCAGGCTTCAAAAAGAATTAAATCAGGAGTCAATTCCTAGACATGCCCACGGCTGAAAAAGAACTACTTCCAGAGGCAATTGAAATCAACAGGTGGTTGAAAGGTACAGAATCCTAAATAATTAACTCAAGAGTTAGCTCTTTTTAACTCCTGAATTCACTCCATTTCCTTTCGGTGCATGTCTCCAAAACGACGTGCTTGTGAAGGCTCGATCTGACCTCATACATGCAGAGTTGCATCTTCTGTGGCCCAAGATGAGCTACTTTCGGGTCTCCCCAAATTTTCGCAGCTCGCAGGATGGTCGGCCTCGCCAGCTTTCAACTTGTCAGAGGGACAAGATCTCTAGCCAGGTGGGCGACATCTACGAGCTGCTCCTGTGCTGCAAGGGAGTGTCATTTCGTTGTGTTTGGACTCCCTGCTTGCAAACATGATCAATTGAGACTGGTACTGGATTTTTCCCTTTTTCACAGGTGTGATTGTTTGATCATTGTGCATCCCCAACTCATCTAACATAACATTTTGTATGTATGTATGTAATGTAATGTAATGTAATGTAATGTAATGGCGGATTAGGAGGGCACCCGACTAAAGAGTTTGTTGTATGGAGGATATTTCAGGGTGCGGTGGGTGGGTGCCATTACGCGCACCACTGAATTGAGTTGGAAACAAACACCTGTTTTGGTCAGGTTGGTGTGGTGTGGAAACTGCAAGTGCATCTCGACGGCTGAAGCTGCCTCGCCAGGGCCATCTTGGCCACCATCAGAGGCCTTTGTCTTGGCCTTTGGCGTTGCTTTGCTGAAGAGGAGCTTAATGTCAGGAGAGCCCCGGGTTGCCGCTCCCTTGCACTCCTTTTTCAAGTTCGTGGTGAGGCTGAGGCGGCCTTCAATCCAAGTGAGCCTGCAACCCACAGGAGGTGCAGTGGATTCGATGGTGTAGGCTTGATCAACGCAGTGACTCTGCAAGAAACTGTGGAAAGTTTCCTCCTGCGATCTTTTGAGGATGGAAGCTCCACACTTGTTGCAGTTCAAGTGCCCTGCAGCTTGCTGGTAGTGATGGGCTTGAGGCCCTGCCAATGTTGTTGGAGCAGGTCTTTGATGGCCTGCGCTCTAGTTACTCTAGTTGGTTTACGCCGCTACGGTGGGGTGCCCTTTCGGTCCACGCTTCGCGGCAGCTTGGTTGCAACCAAGTGTCTCTTGTGCTGTTTGGTCTGCCGTCCTTGGCTCTTGGAAGGGTCTTTGTATGTCGCCCCCAATCTGGTTGGTAGCTTGACCGGGGGCATCTGGTGCACGGTGATCTTTCTTGATGTAAAGCACCGTGATTCTTCTTTGTCCAGGGCATTGGCGAGGTCATATAACAACCCTTCCTCACTTCCACTCCAAGACATTGCTTGAGCGCCAAAGGAACGCGAGAACCTTTGGAAGTGCTACCGCTGACGCTGAAAGCCATAGGGCCTTCAATCCCCGAAGCTGGGGAGGCTGCTCGTGTAAGTGCTTTCCCCGAGCGCATCTGCGAGTACGCTGTCAACCCGGCGCTGGTGAGGCTGGATGACGATGAGGTGACCGACCCACGGTACACTGCGGTTCATGTTGAAAGTCCAGCTGAATGGGGCACGATTGCGCAGGCCCTTCTAGTTGCCGGCATGTTTGAGGCTGAAGTCGAGGAGGAGAGGGTGCGGGAAGCCAGCGCTGAGATTGATCGTAAACCTGATGCCTCCGAATGGCTTGCAAGGAAGATTCCCGGAGCGAGCCCCAGATGTCCTATGGGGGCCGCTCTTCGGACAGATGATTGCCCAAGAAGGCGAGGTGTCGTGGTTCTCTGCCGAGGACCAGAAGCATTGCTTTCATATTTATAGTCCTGGCTAGGCGTGGCGTGGGTACTTCACCTTGAGCCGAAAGGCATGAGCTGAGGCGTTTGGGCGAAAGGACCGCGGAGGTGTGCAAGTCAAGACAATAATGGAGACCTGCTGGCCCCGAGGCAGTGGCTCAGCTTCTACGTGAACAACTTTGATCAAGTGATGGTTGCGAACGAGTCGGCGGTGGGTCGATATGAGGGAAGGCTTCTGAAGTGCAGCTGCAGCTAAGGCAAGTCTATCATGAACGCACAGTGGGCCGTGATGGAAAGAAAGCCGCAGAGGGCTTGCGGTCCTGGGTGTAGAGATGTTTGAGAACCACGTGGGGTCCAACCTTGTGCCCTGATGGGTGCCACCCTGCATTTGATTCGAACCGAGGAAAGCATGAAGGTGAGCTTGAATGAGTTCATGACAGCAGTCTCAAAGCATATGCGGTCGTGCCAATACAACCGGACTACTGCTTGCCTGCCTGACCAGGTATACAATACAAGTTCATCCACAATTATGGCAAGTGAGTCATTCCACATCAGGTGATTGATGAACTCTGGTTGCTGACCATATGGCGCTCCCGATGCACTGGACGAACGCCCAGTGTCAACTGGATGGACGAGCGCGGGCCACAGATGCCTCAGAGTAAGGTGATGGGGCGCGCCGCCGAATTGGGGCTATCCAAAGTGGGGGATGTACGCGAGCGTCTTCTCGCACTGGATAGCCACTGCCAGGGCGGAGCTTTAGCAGATGAGATATCGGTTGTTGAATTGTTCGGAGGGCCCGGAGCGCTCTCCAAGGCTTTTCAAGTCAAGTGCTGGGGTGATCAGCGTGGGACTATTTTGTCAACAACAACCCGAAGGCCAGAAAGCTTCAGAAAGGGCATCGACCTCACAGTATCTGTGCAATGACATCGGGAGGCTTCTTGATGACATGCTGTCGTGGATGGCTGCGGCTGAAAGAAGCAACTGAGCCTCCACATGAACAGCCATGGAATGTGATTGAACTATACGAGAACCTTTGGGAAGGGGCCAAAGCCGTGCGAGATCTATATAATTGGGCAAAAGCAGAAACTACCTCGTCAGAAGACCGGCGAAGGAGCAGGCTGGCAAATTAGCAGTTGTCGATCCTGGATCATCGATCGCCGAGGGTCGTCTGCGGTTTGAAGCTGGACTCCCATATGCGCCGCATCTTTTTGCGCGCAGGCCCGTTGATCCTTCAGCTTGGATTTGGAAGTCTTGCTGAGCTGTAAGTGGGCGCGTCCGTCCTCGACTTGTGCCGGAAGCTGGCCCGAAAGAAGGGGGACCGTGACAAACGGCGGTTGCTGCTAGTGGATAACGGGTCAGTGCTCTCAATAGTGGTGGGGTCCGATGTCAAGTGCCCGAAGGCAGGGACCTTTGACGCGACTCACGGCTGAGCGGCTTGCCACTGGGATGACCTTGGTGTTGGTTGGGCTGGGTCCAATCCGCACTGAACCCAAGCCGGTGGCGCAGCAGAGCAGCAAGAAAAGCGAGGAGAGCTAGACTGGCAGTTGCATGTGTATAAACTCATAGACTTTCTGATCATGTGAGTTCTCCACCGGGGTTTATTGAGTTAGACAAATTGCCGTGCAGGTATGTTGAATCTTTGTGGGAGTCTGGCGACGCCAAAGGATGGGCCTCAGATTTGGACATTTCATCCTGGGTGCGTGGCGTTGGCTGAACTGGCAAATCAGCGTCGTTGGAATGACGCTGCCATGCTGTTAATTGTCGGGTTTTGCGTGCTCCCACGGTCTGCTGAGCTCTTCTCCGCTCTGAAAATTGATTTTGCGTTTGATCATAAAAGATCTGCAGTGTGGAGCCTGTCCTTGGTCGTTTGTGGCCGCTGGGTTGTCTCGCTGTTGCGATCAAGGTAACTAGAGTGTCCGGCCAAACTCAACGCAACTGTTTGAAGATCCTCACACAAAAAGCCAAAGTGGCTGGGAATTGTCAGTGGTACTCTTGCCGAAGGGCATGGCCACGCACATGTTTCGGATGACTGGCAATCTGTCGCAAGTGTGTCATGTTGGTCGCTAGAATAGCGCAAAGACGGCCCGCGTCTATATTTCGGATGCTGTCGCAGCATTGGCGGAGATTGACCTTGAGACCTCGCGTAGGCGTATAGGCTCACATTGTTGGCGGCTCACGCGCATCCAGCTGGGATACCGTCTAAGCGCTCTAAGCGCTGCAAAAGAAGGCTAGATGTGCGCCTGTCCTTGCGCGTGCTTCTTTCTCAGATGGGCAACTTCATTGGGTTGTAGGAGGGGTACGGTGGATACTGGTATCTGGTTGCTCCTGGACCTGTTACCGAACGGGCCAGGAGTGTTTCTGCTATTGAGTGGATGCGCTAGCAACCCGGGGTACAACTGTTTCAAGTCTTCTTGTGTTGCTTTCGCCAGGTTCTCTGCGATGACCTCATCCTGTGGTGGGGCTAGGTTCTGTGGGCCCTGGCCTTGATTAGCCGAAGGGCTGATTCTTTTGCGATGAAAAACGGAACTCGTGACTCGTGAGCGCTATATTCGATTCAGGGTTGCTGGAAAAACCTTTTTCTAGGCATCTTGAATCTTGAATCCAGGTCAAAAAGCCTAGATTTTGAGGAAAGGAATTAGTTTTTCCCAGATAGCGTGAGCTTTTGGGGTTCGATTTTTTTTAAAAAAAGCTGCGTGTATGCGTTTTAAAGCCTGGGTGCTGTGCTGCTGCAGGGTGCCGCTGCTGTGTGCACTTGAGAGCTTGGGCGCAACTTCGACGCTATCTGTCAGGGCGGGACGATGTCCACCCCTATAATGCCTGATGCCGTACGCATTGATCATCTCCTGTCACGCCACGAACGACGTCGCGATGTGCCAGGTATGACATCATGTCAGGCCAGGGATGTCATGCCATGCCAGGGATGACATCGTGTCATTGAAATTACATCATGTCATGCCAGGGATGACAGCCTGTCAGTTTGTGCATGACAACGTGTTCGGCAGCGATGATCAAAATGTCGTCTGGGCAGCTTTGCTGGTCCTTGCCGATTTTTTCCGTCTGTGTTGGGCAAAGCAAGCGCATTCAGCTGATAGATGTTGCGCATGTTGGGGGACTGGTCTGATGTTGCGTGCTGCGGTGTCAGCGGTTCGTGGCGTGTCCTTTATACCTATACACCCGCTATCTGGGGTCTATGCCGGTGTAATTTTTCTGTTTATCGTCAATCGATGCATATGGTACCCCCGCACCTTTGACACCAAGGTATTAAAAACACATGAAACAGGTATATATATATATATATGTATTAACTCTGTACTCATAACTTTCCACGTTCTGGAATTGGCCTGAGTTCGAGTTGATGTTCCATGGATTTCCTCTCCACACCTCTCCCGTCATCAACACTCAGGCTAAAGCAAAAAGGGCGGAGCATTCGTTTCCAGGTGGCCTCCTCACTGCCGATGATCGCCGGGATCTACGCCGGCCTGGTGCGGAAACTTTTACGAGACAAACCCAATGCGAGAGTCGTGATCCTGACCCCAGAGATCGAACGTGCCGAAGAGATTCGCCGGGCCTTCTTGCAGGACTTGACTTCGACCCGGCTTGAGTTGATTGATGCTTTTGGTCATTCTGTGGTCATTGTGGGGTTTGGAGTTTGGCCACTTTGCACCTTGAAGCTGTACCCTAGGCATTCCTAGGCCGAAAATTGTTTGTTTGATTACTTTGTTAGGGCGTTATGTTCAGTAGAATCATCTGTAGTGTCTTTGATGTGCTCCATACTCTTATACACGAAGATACTTGGCAAATCGAAGGAGCAAGAACTGCCCGAGCCGACCTTGATATTTTATACAGCAGCATCAGCAACAAAGCGTCAAACCTCAGACAACGTGATCATTTGCGTGAATAAAAGCAGCCGTATGCTTGAAGGACTCGCGATGGGTATGATTTTTCACATGTATTTACAAACCACAAACTTAGGATGTAGATTTTTGCACCAACACAGTTTGGGCAACTGTGCCCAGCTGTGCATCCAGGACAACACTTTCTGATGAAAATCCAGGACGAGGCACTGCAGCGGCCCAGTTGGACCATGCAGAATCTCAAAAAGGTTTCTGCGGAGTTTGTTGGTGAGTTCTCCTTTTCGTTTGGCTCGGCAAAGGTTGACTACATGTATTCACTCCAGGAGGCCTGCTTTGAAGGTCACATTCCAGCGGTTCATTGCTTTGTTTTGCCATTGGCTGAAGATGACGCCCAGCAATTTTGCGGGTTAGCGCAGCTGATTCAAAGCAAGGAAATGGAGTGGTCACCAATGCTTGTCTCCTTCCCCGCACTGCCTGCAGCGTCAAATTTTAGTCAACGTCTCCAAAAGCTGGGTGTGTCTGCAGAGGCCATCACCTGTCCAAGAAGTCAGAAATATCAAACGAAGCGAAATGAAGTGATGCAGCGTTTGGAGGAGAAGAAACTTAGCGTGGTGTGCATGGCTAGAGGAGGTCCTTCGGACTTTGCGGTGAAGGGGCTGGAAACAGTGATTTTGGCCTCAAGGGGGTCCCGTCCAGAACGAAGGCCGAAGTCCCTACGTTATTTGCAAATGATGGTGCAAGCCCAAAAGGATTTCAGACCCAGGCCGATGAAGCTCTTTGAAACCATTTGCAGTGATCAACCTGAACGTCAGATCCAAGAATATTTGGATCATTTCGGGGCCTTGGAGCCGAATGAAAGCCCAATAGGCGAACCACAGGTCTATGTCGGGGTGTTGTTGCCTGAAAGAAGGAAGCATGATGCTTAATGGGAAGAGAATCGCACATTGATTTGAGATGGTGCGCCGATGTGGCACCCTGGAGTCAATTTTGAGAGTTGGGAACATCTCTTTGATTGACCAGTATGAAGTGTTGCATTTAATTTGGAACGTTTTCCAACAAAAGCTTTGCCCCTCCTCACTAGTCCTTCTGACGCTTAGGTCCGCCATTTGCCGAGGTTGGTCAGAGTCTTCTGCGTTTGATTATGCAATGTATTTGTCGGACTGATGCAGAGCTTGTATCGTGGCTGGACCCAGAGCTAGGTGGAAGATGGCACACAGATCCTTGGATATGATTTGAATCCATCATTGGTTTTGCCATGCCTCGCATGTGCATCTGAAAGAGACAGCAAATTGGTGGCCGGTAAGGTTGGTCACTCTTGAAGTTTTCATTTTGCCACTGAGACTTTCATGTACCAGTTTGCACCGCTTTTTGTCGGGTTTTTGGAAGGGCACTTGTGCTCTTCGTCGCTTCTGTGAGGCGGATGTCCTGATCACAAGATAGACTACCCACGAAGTGGTCCACCATCAGCACCGAAAACGCCCGGCTGTGTCCACTGGCTGGTCAAAATGATGCAACGGTGTGATCGCCTGATGTGCCGGATTTCATCGCCTTCTTTTCGGAAGAAGGTGGATTACAGTGGAACTATCCAGAATCCCGGCACAAAGGATTTGTACTCAGGGGATGCGTGACCCTCACAACTACTTGTGCCCTTGTCGAACCAGGACGAGATGGTGAGTTCCTTATAATTCCTGTACTATTGTTCTTAATTGTGACCATGTAAACTTGAGAAAGGGACACAAAGTGCACTTGAGAAAGCTCACAAAATGGAGAAATGCACTGAACACGTCAAAGGACGCGCTTGCTGCCCAGGACGTTTGCGGTCAATCTCACAACAGAGCATCAATTGCTGGATAGATGTGCTGAGCAAATGGCAAGTGCAAATGAACGACAATTTCAGCGATTCTCTGAAGCTTGTAGATGCTCCTCAAGTTTTAAGCATGGGTGAACACTCCACTCAGGAGGTGTTCGGTGCATATTCTTCCCATGACAACGCGCTTCAATGCAAGAGCTGGTCCTGAGCATTTTTGTCCATACTAAGAAAAGCTGCCTGAAGGGCGGTCCTGTACATTTGTCTGGAAGAGAGGCTTTTGTGCTTCTGACTTTCGTTGGTTTCGTTGACGACTAGGCGACTAGGTGTTGCAGGATCACTGTTGGCGGCACTCGCCCTATTGAAAGCATTGAGTGCTCCCAAATCTGCCCAGTGTGCCCAAGCACGCAGGTTGAAGACATCCTTCGGTGTGCACGAGCATGCGGGCGAGTTGCCATTGTGACACTGGCACAACATCCCTGGGTTGTGAACTCAGCGGCCAAGTACTTGCCTGGCTTGGATACTCGGTTGCGCTAAGGGGTGGCAATGTTGAATCACAAGGTTGGCACTTCACTAGAGTTTGCCATTCAGCATTTGGCGATTGCCCTTCTCTTGAGCTGTGACTGTCCATCCGCATCCCTCTAGCGCCTCTAGGACCTTCCTGGCTTGTTAGAGGAGCTGGAAATCCCGGTGATCTATGCACGTCAGTGTTTGAAGCGCTACGTCATTCAAGAAGGGACTCAAGAAGGCGAATGCCTCTGGACCTTAGCGAAGCAGACCGCGATGACGAAGGCGGCCAAGCCAAGGACGTTCTTTTGACCCAACACGTGTCAAATATGAAGGCAGCAGACAAGCGTATATTATAGAGGTTTTTGAAACGCATCTTCAGGAAACACAGAGTTTTGCACAGCGAACATGCTGTGTTGTTTTTGCTCCTCACTGGCCAGGTTCTTCGCAAACTTTATGGTAGAGACCAACCATGGATGAACGTGCTGTCCATCGGAGATTCCACAGTGGAGCGTGCGGCCGTCATGGAGATCATGTGGAGAAATCATCACGAGGAGCTACAGACTTTTTTCCCTTGTATTCTTTTTGTTATATAATGTATATAACGCCAAAAAACCCAACAGCTGGGTACGTCTGCCTACTAGGCAGTGGCACCATCGCAAGGTTCAACAAGTGTCGTGCCTTTTGCCAAGCAATCCTGTGCCTGTCTTGAACGCCACTACAAGCAAGAACCAGCAAACCTGCTCCAGAACCGCTTGCCTGAGCCCGTGACTTTGGAATCATGGGGATCCCTGCGCAAATGAACTGAATCTCAAGCTGGTTGGTCAAAAATGCATACACGGTATACATAATTGTATACTATATCACGAAAGCCAGCCGATAGGCAAGGCTTGAGGTAGGGGAGCGAACGAAGTGAGTTAAAGAGGGTGTGGGGGGGGTGGTCGCGAGGTGGCCAATTTCGGAGAGGTGAACCCAGAGCCTGGTGGGGGAGTGAAAAAAGAGGTGGCCACTTGGTAGTGAAAAATGAGTGGTTTTAGAGGTGTTGTGATGCCGGTGATGTTGACGGCCAGTAGTGCATCATTAGCATCACGAGGGTCCCGGGAGTTCATGCCAATGATAGGCAAGAGGGGGCAGCGGGATGCGAAAAGTGGTTGGAATTCCTCCAGGCAGGGAGATGCGCGACTCTCATTGCCAGTGAAGTAGTGTGAAAGGGAGGTGTGTGTCTCTTAAGACATAGTGTGATCTGTGAGGAGCCATAATGCTGTGGGGAAGGTGGAAGACAGGCATAGCGTAGGAGGACGTGGTAGGAAAAGAGTGTTTGCAAGAAGTGTTAGGGTTGCTTGGGGGTGCCCTTTTTAAATGGTGACAACGCCTGTCAACTATACGCAAAAGGGCACCCCATATGGGTTGCGAGTTCATGTAATGCTGTGGTCCGTTCAGGGCAGGAAAGAGAACAAAATGGGGGGTGCCCCTTTTTAACGATGAAGAGGTCCAGTTGCCGGACTCAAAAGGGCACCCCAATATGGGGTGGGAGTTCATGTGGACGAGACAGGCATAGTGGAGGAGGACGTGATAGGAAAGAGGGTTTGCAAGAAACGATGTGACCCATTCATTGAGAACAGGGAGGGAGCAGAATGCAGCGGGCAAGCTTTGAGTTGTTTGGGGGTCCTTTTTTTTAATGGTGAAGAGGCCTGTTGACCAGACGCAAAAGGTCACCCCATATGGAGTGGGAGTTCATCTACAAAATGGGCATAGTGGGGGAGGAGGTGATAGGAAAAGAAATGGGGATGTCACCCCCCAATAACCACATTGATATCTTTTACGGTGGCTGGCTTTCGTCCCCCCCTTCTCAGGTATATATATATATAATATATGTACTGATTTCTCTATATAGACGTAGGTTTTAAAATGAAATACAGGCAGACACCAGGAGCATGTAAACCGTATCACTGCGAGGATGGATCCGGACGCGTGCCATGTTGCAAGACCATCAAGCTTATGGATGCAGCTTGCCTTATAACATACTTCAGGGGTATGGAGAAAGTGAGAAGGCCAGCAAGACAAGACATTGCGGGATAAACCTCTTGGACCAAGGATCCGAGTGTTGAACAGCTCCATACTCAACTGGTCATGCTCAGCATGTGGATGACTCAGTTGGCGCAGCATGGTAATGACTTTGATTTTTTCCCTTGATGACTCCGACGAAAGCATGAGTTTTGCATGGAACAATCAGCTGCTTGGTCGCACATACATAATACAGCTGCTTTCCATACACTCTTTCGTTTTGTTGTTGGTGACACCTGCCGCACTAGGGTGCTTTTGGACTTTCAAGGTTTGCCTTCAACGCCGCCACATAGTTGCTTACAGATTATAGTTTCATATTTGATGCAGAGGCAACCAAGTCCTCCGCTCAGTGCTGACGCTTCTAGCGTACGGCGTTTCATTTTTAAGTCCTTCAGCGGCAAAAGCCGCAGTTGGCATTTGCTTGACAATGCGTTGATTGCAATTTTCTATTCATTTTTGTCCGTCCAGAGAAACGTCAAGCTATTCAAACATGTTCAAACAATTCAGCCACTCTTCTCACTCTCTTCTCAAGACTCTTTAAGGCTCTTTGGTTCTCTCACCGCAGACAGCTTTCAGTAAGGCTGTTTGCATTTCTTTTTTCCATTGGTGCTTTCGGAGCACTGAAGGTCAGCTGACCTGTGTGACAGCTTCATAGGTCACTCAAGCTGTGCATGGCCAAAGGGCACATGCTCAGGTTTGTCAGTGGCAGTGGACAGTGCTACAGCTGCTAATTGTAGCTAACATAGCTTCGAACAGAAGTAGAAACTGTTTGTTTTCTCTTGACGCTTCTATTTCGACCGACGTGTCTCTCTCTCTCTCTCTCGCTCGCTCGCTCGCTCGCTCGCTCGCGCCAAAGCTCGGAATGTGCATGTGAGACCAGGTTTTCAGCACTGGATTCGCGGGTTTTCGATTAAAAACTGTACCTTTGGTAGTAGTCAGGTGTTTTGAGCATCCAATGATGACTAGTTTCGGCGACTGAACCAGGGATGGTACGCTGGTGGCACAGGTGACAGGTAGCATCGGCATCCAAAGGAATGATGTGAGGATTAAGAGGACCTTGCAACGTATTCCTTTAAAAGATGCACTACAAAAGAGATAGTGTGGGACATTCCTGACGAGGTCGGGCTGTTTGTTGCCATTGTGAAAAGATGGTTAGGTCAGGCAGTTGGAGGACGAAGTACAAGAAGCTGAGCAGGTGCAGAGAGATACAACATTTATTTCATGAATACCTTTACTCTTGGCTGTACGGCACTAGTGCCCATCGAGAGCAGGCCTACTATGAGCTCAACATGCTGCTTACAACGGCAGAATGCGGCTTGGACCCAGAAAGCCCATGTAACCGGCCGGCCGCCTGCTGTACAGGGCGATGAAATTAGACCAAACTGGCTCGCAACTGGGGGCATGGTGTGCCAAAACGTTTTGGATTCTGCTTAGCCAAATCGTGAATTGCACACTATTTTTAGTCCTACTCTCCAGCCAAAGTTCACAAACCTGTGATCGAGGCAAGCTTCAAAGGGCGCACTGGGAGACCCGCTGCCTTCGAAAAGAAGAAGGCGCCACCCACTCTGAGGCGCCACTCACCACAGCTCGTCACATGTGCAGCTTTGGTAATCCTTTACCTTCCCTTTTCTTCTCATTAAGAGCGATGGCCTACGTATTTAATAGGAATTGCCTCCAACCTAATGGCTTCTTTCACATGTTTTTTTTTCATCCTGAAAATGACATCTGCAAACTCTTTTGTTTGGAGGAGTTTGCCACTCTGTCCGACCAGTACGCCGCAGAGATCGCCAAGCTTGACGAACAGTGTCGGGAGCGGGCTAAGCGGTCCGCAGAGGTTTCCTGTCGTCCAACGCAGACAGAGCGCTGCTTGCTTGCTCTTCAGGGTCTTTGTGGTTTCTTTGGTGCTTCAGGAGCTGCGAAAAGACCAGAAGGGCGTCAAAGAGTGCCATGAGGTTGGCCATTTCGGGGAGAGTTGGTCCGTTTCTGGTGATTGCCAACCAGAT